TCTTGCTCAGGCTATTCTTGAACTCCTGAGGCTCAAGTGATCCGCCTGCCTCAGCCTCCCAAAGTGCTGGGATTAAAGGTGTGAGCCACTGTACCAGGACCCTCTCCAAGAAATTTCTAGGCACATATTATTGACTACTGTAACATATATTTGCCCTTAGGTCGTGTTGTTAAAATTGTCACTAATAAGGTGACCATTTTTCAAGGCACGCTAAGGCGAGTGCACAGACAGCTCAAACAATGTGTGCTTTTCTTTCTTTTTCCCATGCTTGCAATTCCTGACTCATGGTCTCATCTACCATTTCAAGCCTCACCTTAGGCCTCCTGGCACAGCTCCTATCCTCAGATAAAGCCAAAGCACTGGCAGTTCACAAAAGCTGCTTCCTGGGCCCACTCATTTCCCCAGCCTGGGTCTCATTCAATGTGGTATCTTACACAGCCTCTTCCAGCCTATACCATCACTGTCAGTTTACCAGTGTCTCCTTCAGAGGCCTTGTTTACACTTAATTAAATCAAGCCTGAAAATTACTTTTGAACATAGAGTTTAAGACTTCAGAAGCCAAATCAGTATATTTTTTAAACTTATGATTATCTCTACACAGTTTAATTGTACAAAATTCTTAAATATATTTCAGAACTTCTAATAATTATGAAGTTTTATTTTCAAAGTCCTCAGATTATGAGTACATTGATAAGAAATATTAGATAACAGTACTTTCTTAATGCAGAAACAGCCTTAAATAAAATAATCAGGCAAATCTGCACATTGGCAATTAATGACTTACTTTTTCAACATACTCAAACACCAAGTACAACTTTCCCCTCCGACGAAATGCTTCCTTCAGCTCCACAATGTTTTCCTGCTTGAGAGTCCGAAGCATTTTAAGCTCTCGTAAAGTCGTTTCCTTGACTTCTTCATTTTCTAGAATGTAAACAATGGTGAAAAGAGTAAAATGAAAACTTTCAAACTACTATTCAAAGAATTCCAAGAACACTGAAAAATCCCAGTTTCACTTTCCACTTTGAGTACTTCCGCATAAGAAGTCCCAGAATGAAATATTAAATAACATGTTTTCTGGTTGAAAGGATCAAGAATAATAGAAGAAACGGTTTACTTGATCAGCACAAACTTGATTTTCTGCTTATATATTTTTGTGCTCTTTTTACTACAGTGTATGTGTAAAAACACACTTATAGATACAAGATATGCATCCATTGTCATTTGAACTCTAACACTCTATACTAGGAAAGAAAGATTAAAAGGGCCATAAGGAATCAAAAGTGTCAGTGTGCAGAGAAATCTCTATGCAGCCAGCATCTGTAGTAGTTGATGTTTTTAAAGATGGTCTGAAGCTTTGGCCTAAAAGAGTGTTTTATTCCTCAGGCTGCATGAGTCACCTCAGGGAGAAGAGGTCATGCGCCAAGTATCTACAATGCAAGTCACAGCCAAGTTGCAGGGAATTCTGAGAATGTCTAATCTCTCTGAACATCAGCTGCTATAGGTTCCTGCTGTCCTCCCTGTGGCATGTCCATCTGCCCATCCCAGATGGTGTAGCTGTTCTGGGATGGAGAATTTATGCTGAACCAATAGATCCTCTTCCATACCATCGACTTCATTCATGATAACCTCTGTGGTCATGGAGGAAGGACAGAAGTTGTATTAACTCTAATGGATTAACTGGCAGGAGAATGATGAAAATATTTCTATTTAAATGAGTTTTTATTATACCTTTAGATTTAGCCTGGAAATCCTAACTACCATGTTTTTGCATATATGTACCAGGATACAGGATCATAATCCCTCATCTATAATTCCAAAATCCAAAACACAGTCTAAAAACTGAAAGCTTTTTCTAAGTTTGGAGCAAATTCACTGAGGTAACACCTGAATTGACATGAGACTACTTACAGTCTTTGTTTATCCCATCCAATATGAACATTCATATGTTGCACTATAGAAATACTACTTAATTACTGGGTGCTATGTATTATAACATGCCCCATGTCCATTCTAAAATCAAAAAATTATGAATTCGAAAACACATGTGGCCACAGGCTTTTGGATAAGAGCCAGAGTCCCAGCTGGAGAGCTGTGTGACCCTCAGGCTCAGACCTGTCTTTCAGTGTGAGAAGGAGGAAAATGGAGTGTGAAGATAGCGGCATGGAAGTCTAATAAATACACTCTCTAGAAAAAAGGCTCTCTAAGCAAGGCACGCAGGACGAAAAAGGCTAAATGGACGCCAAAGGGAGAGGGGAGATTCAAAATGCAGAGCCGGGAGTGTTTCCTCAGATTATTTTCTATTCTAGCCCCCTTTCCCAACCTCCACTCAAACTGAGTTTAAAGAAAAGGGACTGACATAAAAGCAAGGGCTTCGTAGCACCCGAGTATCCATAACAAACTGAAAGCATAGAGTCAACACTCCCTTGTGAACTGATTACATAAGTGAAGTATTCTACTTTAGCCAGAAGGCTACTGGAGAACTCTGGAACACAGATTAGGATCAAGAGAGATACTGTCTATGAGAAGACAAGAACCAGCAGTAGGAAAGGCCAACTGTGGCATAAGCAGTGAATTACTTGGCTCACACCAAGGCGGTCAACAGGGAACTGGGTACTTACAAGGGAAAGAGCATGACAGTGGATGCCACCCGGCAGTGGGTGAATGTCTGAGATGCAATCACAGATATTCCAAAGTGGCTTGGAGGATTGGGAGGAGACAAAGGTCCAGGTGTTCTGCAAGTTGGGGCTGAGCCAGAGCAATGTTGTTCTGTGACCATTAGAATGCTAAGGTAGTTGCAGCTCTTGAAGCCCAGGGAACACCAGCAGTTTCCTAAAGAAGCAAGATTGGGAACATGCTTCTCTTGATAGTCCCCCTGAGTTACTCGAGATTGGGATAATCAAACTAAAATCCATCTATCTCGAAGAGACAGAATAACACACTGATCTCAAATAAGAAACAAATTATCTAACAAGGGACTAATTTAACAAGAGACAAGTCTACTAATTACTGATGACCTGGTCCTCGCCTGCCTTTCCATCCCCATCTCATGTCCCTCTCCCCATCCCTCACCTCCATTTTTCAGTTCCCAAAATAGCCCCAAACTTGATTTTTCTACCTTAATGGCCTTCAGAGTTGCTCCCTCTGCCTACAATGCTCAGTCTACTACCTAGGCTCTTGATAGGGCTCGCTCCTTCAGGTTTTAGTTTAAATGTCACTCCTCCAGAGCCTTCCCAGACCACCAAAGAAAGAAGGCCCCATCCTCATTATTCCTTGTCACAGTTCTGGACTTTTTTTCACAGAACTTCTCACCATTTTTCTTGATACATTTGTTTGCTTAGTGGTATAAATCTATGCAGCCACCCCTGCTAAATCAAGAGCTCAAGGAGGACAGGACTCAGTTCTTCTGTTCAGCAATATACACCAGGACTGTACCTGACATAAAAAGAGGTGATCAATACATTCTTCCTACATGAATGCTTTATCTGGGGCCATAAGGAAACTCTGCTTATACATGACTAGCTCTTCCTCACTTCAGCCACAGCAAGGGAGGGCAAACAATAGACACTTTGCCCTCTCAGTTTTCTTACAGCACTGCCAATTTCCTCAAGTACCACTTATCAGGCAGTAAAAGAAACTGAATTTCTTTTTTCCCCTATTCACCTCTGTCCCTAGGTGTCTTCTACAGTGTCTGATTAGAAACAATGGAGGATACAGAACACTGACAGTGCTCAGGGTCAAGAACACACACCCATACATGCACACAAACACATAAATAGACATAAAACCATTCAGAGCATCCAGAAGCTATGCTGGAGCTGGGTACAAATAAATGTTGCCACAAAGTCACTAAATAAATACAGCTAGTGTATCATCCTTAATCACATGCTTGGTGAATTCTTGGTACTGGAAATGCAAATGAAACATCATCATATTTGTTACCAACTTGTGGCAATTTGACTTTGCTAATGGATAAACCCTCTTCAGAATGGCCGCATAGGAATGGTTTTAGTAGAAAAACAGTGGACTAGGACTAGGGAGACCTAGATTCTGGACTCAGCCTTTTAATCAACTAACAGTACGCCATGCAACTTTAGGCAAGCCACTTAACTTTTCATCAGTAAAAGAAACAAACACATATGCCTCCATCTCTCAAAAATCCTATTGCCTTTTTGAAATCTAATAATCTATTATTTCTTTTCAGAAAATCTTATTGATTACGAGCCTAAACCTCATGGAACATGGGTGCTTTGTTATACATACGTTATTTGAATCTGTATTGACTCCACCTAACAATGGTTAGAGAAGATAATGAATCATCAAAAAGAAGCACACAAAATTACTTAGAATGTAGTGTCCAAACAACCTCATTTGAGCAGCTGTTTTAGGAAAGAAAGGCTTCTCTACTTTATTCCAGTAATAGTATTAAAAGTTGAGGTAAACACTTGAGCACTAACATTGCAAAGAATGGGAATAGGCAAGAAGTGGAACTAATTCCCTAAGTTCAAGCAAAATGGGCACTCTTCAGTACTGGGTACATCCTATAATTTTGTTTTTCTAAGTACTTTGAAGGTTCTTGGCCTGCCCTGCACTTTATGATGAAAATTGTGCAACTATATTATCAGATGATGGTGGGGGGGAGGGGAAGGCAGGCACATTCCAATTACACAAGCTTCTCTTCTCAGAGGTATACAAAGTAACAAAGCATTTTCTAAGGCATTACAAAATGCCTTAAAAAAGCATTCAGTTAAGGCATTTTCAAAAGATGGTAGCAGAGCCCACTGAAATGAGCACAAAAATCACTGCCATCTAGTTGGATTAATCCCTGTGGATTGTTTGTCTAGGCTAGGGTTCTTTATCAAGGCTGGGCTCCAGTTTACAAATGAAGAAGCCAAGTCTAGGAAGGATAACTTTCTCAGGGTGTGTGAGCTGAGGGTCACATTCTACCTCATAGTCTGAGTAGAATACAGGGACAAAGGTGGCATAGTACAACACAGTAAGTTTTGGAAAGTGAGTCACAGTACCCAGGTTCAGGTCTAACTATGCTACTGTTTAGCTGAATGGCAAGACAGCATAGTATGGGTGGAAGAAAAACTCAATGAAGATCCTGGATCAGCATTTTAGCCGCAATTATTCACAAACAAGCTATACAACTTTGGGCCTGAGGTCCATCATCTGTATACTGGGGGGCTGAGTTATACTAGATTATTCGGAAGGACTCCTCCTGAGTCCATACTTCTATGTGATGCCTGATTATGTGCATGCTGACCCACCCTGTCATCAGTTACCGCTGAGGGAGTTTAGCTTAACACAGGATCAACTCTGACAAAGTTATGTGCAGATATATAGAAACCCTACTACTGAGTGAGGACAAAATGGCAGGGTTTAAAAGGATGTTAAGTAAAAACAAAAAACCGTCCTACTTCTAAATTTACCAGTAAGGCAAAGTAACACACCTAAAAATCAAGAGCGATTTGCTAAAGTAAAAGAGAACAATTCTTAAGAAGAAAGATCACAGGAGCAAAGGAGATTCAAAGATAAGTAATGAAAAGAGAAAAACCTAAAGATGAGCAGAAACTCTATTGTATATCTATTTTTAAAGAACTGTGGGCTTAGAAAGGAAATCCAGGAATAGCTGTAACCTACTTTGTGAAATCACAGACCTGACATTTTTGTATAGCCAAAGAGCCCCCTGCCCCAAATGGACCTTTAAACAGATAAACTGATAAAGAAAAATCAACCCATTCTTGATGAAAACCACGGGGATGCCATATTTGAGTCTGGTTGCTCTTATTAAAGAAGGGACATCAACAGACAGACAATGTGGCTGAGGAAGTTTGAATGCTAGTGCTACTGTTACATACACGAAGAAGGATGTGGACCCTCCAATCTTTAGAGATGAAGAACAGGTAAAAGCACAGTAA